ACTGCAGAAGTTGATGGTCGGATATTGCGATCTCGATGATGTGGACATCAGCATTTGAAGGTCAGCACGCGTGATGACAACGTCCAGCAGTCCGCCCATGTCGTGCGTCGGCAAGGTCTCGTGACGAACCGGGCCAAATGTGTACAACAGGTCATTCGGCTGAACGACCCAACACTAAATTTCAGGGATCAACATTTCAAACTAAGTCAATCAGTTTTAAAATTCAATACACATGGTAGATACTAAACACATAGAAGAAATTTTTTTATCAATCGTGAACTTGATCGTTCTCCCATAGGTGTGACGTTCGTTCTCTCTCGTAGGAACTAGAGGCACGCCCCCAACTTAAGTAAGTATCATTAGATTAAAAACACAATCGTTCATGTCGGACCAATAATTTTAGACGCCACACTGAGTGAGGTGGCTGTACCCTGAATGTGAACCAACTTCGGAAAGAGTTCCATCAAAACTTCTACCCTCAAATGAAGATTTGAACAACTCGATCCCTAACTTTGCACAGATATTTTCCTCTAATTGCGATCAATACGACGAAAAGCAAAAATTTATGAGTTAAAATAGATTGTGACATTGTGAAGTGAAATCTAGGAATAAATTATTCATTTATCTAAATAAGATCTCCTGAGAAAAAAGACATCCACTCAGAAAGCATATATTCGGGCATATATAATATATGTGCACGAGTCATATTGAATAAATGGTGACACTTTCTTACCCACAGCAGAGACACGGATAGGCCCTTTAGACCGCTGAAACTGGGTCAGGATGACCCAAAAGAGAGTAGAAAAATGCATCGCTTATTTTAATTTTAATTTAATTTAATTATTGGACGAAGTCTCACTCGTTTCTCCCACTGAATAATTTTTTTTTCTACGCATAAAAACAACTTTCCATCGACGTGAACATTCCGGCACAGAATCACATGCAGATTTACAGGACAAAAAACGTCTCTCTCGAATCCGTCAAACTCGTTTACCATGGAAGGATGAAACTTATTTACGTGGACTTTATTGGCACTTCCACCTAAAATACGAGTGAGCCATAGAGCGTCGGGTCCAAGTACTGAAAGTTCAAAGTAGTGGGAAAACTTATACGTACTGTACGTTATGCTACGCCCGTGTCTATTCTGAACTGGTTTTCTACCTACAGAGAATAAAATCTAAAAATGCAGTATTTTGGAGGAATTGTTTTTTTCAGTGCGGTGTTTAGAAAAATCAAGTGTTGATAGATGATAATATAATTCTATTACTATTTGTCTTTAATTATATTTTTTCATTTATGAAGCCCAGATCTTCAAGTGGGTGCAAATCTGTCAGATCTATTTGGTAGAAACGTATATTTTTTTCACTCCAACAATAGCATGAAGTAATGCCTTAGTGATTTGTGGTTTAATTGGAAGAGATTAGAAGGTATAATTGTGCTGGCTCCTACTGACATTTATAAGAGCTTCTTCGTTACTCACTGATATTATTACTTCATTTAAAGGGAACAAATCAATTTCATAGTATTTGTCATGGAAATTCTAACTAAACTGTACATGACTTAAATCAAAAGAAATTTTTCAACTAAACCAGAGGGGCACAACGGTTGGTTGATTGCGAGGTCAAAAACAATCGTGGAACTGAAATCATAATCAACAACCATTTAAAAAATTGCTTATAATAATGCTTTTCTCGCATGCTTTCATATGCCCATATATATTATTTCCTGCATTAGACAAACCTCTCTTAATTATTTCACCCGTGCAGTAATAGTTTATTCTGCTCATCCAAGAAATCATCTTCTCCCCACGTGTTGAGGTCGAGATCTCGCTCGAGTTTGAATGATTTACATTGAGCTTATTGATCAGTGCTCGGGAACACATGGCCTCTGCATCGTATAATCGATTTTTGGAAGCTTTCATTTGACGAGCAAAGGAGGGATCGATAGATCGATTTTTGCCTTTGACTGGAGGGAGGCCCTATCAACAGCGCGTGTTTACCCACGCTGGGCAGGCCGCAATTCTCGTCACCTCGTAGCCTGCATACCAACGCCTATTGCGTGGCCGTAGATAAGCCGGCCAAGATTTGCAAGAAGGCACGGAAACCTTGGAAGTTGTATGAATGACTTAGCGCACTGCGAGTAGCTTATACAACCTTTTGGCACGCTCAGAACCCTAGGAAAAGTCGAAAATTAGAGGAGCTGTTTTTTATTTACGACACAATTTGATCAATGCATGCGTCTCATAAATTTTCTTAATCTGAATTAACATTTTTCCGAAAAAATTGAGTTTCAAGTGGACTGAAGTTTTTAAACAAAATTCAAAGTCTTTAAAAAAATTGCAGCGCTTCTCTAAGGAGACTGCGTATATGAATCGTTGTACGATTTATGTACCTCTGATCAGACTGATAATACTGTATTTAAACGTGTTTGAACGTTATCTTAATATAAAGAATCAAATTTATTGAATATTTATACATAGATGCAGTATATAATTTTTAATATATGCGGTATAGTAATTACTGCATTTATTAAAGAATTATTCAAAACTGTTTCATATAACATTTAATTCGAACAATTGAACAATAAAGCTTATCCTTCTTCACTTCACCTGGAATAGAAGTCGTAATCTCATACACATTGTAAATAATCGTTCATAAAAGGTTACCATGCGATCGCATTTCCCGAGAAACTGAACTTCACTTCAATAACTTTTGTTGTTTTTGCCTAGCATAGAATAGATCGAAAGTTTTAAAATATATATAGAGAGAAATATATGATGAAATTCGCTACTCATTACAATAATTTTAAGCACCAGATCGTCAGGGCCTGTGTGGCATAGCTATAGCTATAGATGGAATTTCGCTGAGATATTCAGTCGTGCAAACCAGCTGTGAATTAGTAAAGAAAATGAGGAGGACTTATAGAGAATGCCATATACATTATAAAGTCGAGAATTGATTTACATTTTCTCCTTGGCTTAAACGAGGGCTGCTTATAGATGATCCTTGAATTTTTTTAATTGCATGAATTTGATTTTGATTATCAAAAAATCCAGAAAAATCAAGACTTGTATTTTTTAATCAAGAATTTTTATTAGCATCAATTGGAATTAGATTATTAAAAATTCAAGAAAAATCAAGACTTGGATTTTTTAAGCAATAATTTTTTCAAAAGCATCAAATAGAACTAGATTATCAAAAAATCAAGAAAATTCAAGACTTGAACTTTCCAGCGATCACTCCACTACGCAATTACGAAGCGTCGCTCTTAAAAATATTCAAAGAGAAATAATCAAAGGCTTCCTGTCGAGTGTTTTTCGAAGCGGAATTCTGAACACGGACAAGAACTCGGCTGAAGTCAAGAATAAAGTTCGCAACAACGCAATATTAATTGCAAAATTGTCATAACGGTCATAAAAATTCAATTTCTGCAGGAAAATACGTGGGACGTTTGTAATGTCGATGACATGTTAGCAAATTCATGTCATTATCAACATTTTGCGAGAATATCGCTGTTGTACCTGGAAATGATGAAGTCAAACATATCAAGCGTCGAGATGTTTCTCGCTGAGGTGTAATGCTATTGTGAATCGGAGCGGATAAATGACAACGATCATAAGATGTTTTATTTTCATACAAAAATAGAAAATTTTATTTTCTAAAGTAAAAATGAACATGGTAAGTAAAAGTTCAAGACGTATCGATATTATAATAAGATTCTTCATTCAGTATGCTCCCTTTCTTCAATGTACAGCACAAAATATACAGGAATTACAATCAACTACGAGCAGGTAAACTTTAAGAAAACATCATTTAAATTTGATCTAGTTAATGATTCAGTAAAGTAAACCCGATTCATATGACTCAATCCCAGAATAATGCAAAAGATTTTATGTTGCATTCAATTCGAGCTGCATGTTACTAATTAACGTGCAAAATTATTACAATTCATTAGAACAAGGCCTGTTATTTTTGTAAACCGAACATAATCTGAATCTAAGTTTGTTAGTGAAACGTTCAATCTCTCATCAAAAACATTTGAATCCTCGTACTCGGTTATAATACATTGTTTAGTTATATTGGTAGCCACGTAGCAGCCGACGATCGGCCACAGTAAGAGCTTTTGCCGTAATGAAAATAGACTTCACAATAATTCACAGAATTTCAATTTGCCGAAAAGAAATAATTCTCAAGAAGCAGAGAAATGAACAGGAGAAAACCCAGATTAAACTCTCCACCCAAATAATTATGTTTGAGACTTCTGAATCGTTAGCCCTGCATCTCATGTTTCGATTCTTATCCTGTAATATACTGGCAATTTTAATCCATTTAGTTCAGAATTAATTGGAGGCCCAATAGAGTGAATAATGTGAAGCTTCTTCCTTTTTATCCCCCTATTCAACACTCGTGGAAATGAAGGCTTTTGAGTTTCAGACAACATGCATGACTTATTTTTCGAAGAATCGTTCAGCCTTTTGGTCAAAACCTGAAATTTTGTGTACCATCTAAAATTTTGTCTAATCGTGACTAAACAAATTTAAATAACCATTAAAGCCGGCATCACACAGTAGAACGCTGTTGAGTTAGTGTTGATTTTAATATAAAAACATGTCTTTGTTGTCGTAATCTAATTTCCTTGCAGGCTAGTCCTATGGCTCCTTTGGCAGCAGGCTAGTCAGTGAAGATTTGTGAACGCCTGTTTCAAGTTAACAGCAACATGTAATTCCTAGATCATTAAAATTTCGCGCAGGCGTAGCAATGCTGTTTACTCACGGAACATATTTTACATATGTGACAACATATTAACCTTCGCAGAGCAAATTACAATAAAAATTCAATGAATGATCATTTGAATATGTGGCTTATGTGATAACTGAATTCATACGAGACCCAAATTCGAACGAACACAAGGATTTTCGCTTCTTCGGCAAACATGGCGAGTAACGTCGACACTTGGGAGGCGTGTAATGTCGTCATGAATAATTTAAAGGCGATCAAAACATGTTTACAACAGCACTTGCGGCGACCGTTAACGGACATCAGAGCGTGCTGCTTGACTCGCGAGACGACGCCACAGACGTGGCCGTACTAGCAGGGACTGATGGAAACTCAGTGATGAGCAACTGAGGTCAAGGCCGGGAAATTCCAATGTAATTAATGTCTAAATAATAATGTGTGGTGACATCGTAAGGAAATCTGAAATTTGATTGCAGAATTGGAGCACAATAATAAAATGGATACAAATGGGGATGTTTAAGAAAATTTCAATTCACGCTGTCACGCTTTCATATCAATTAAACGAAAGTGTTTAAATGTTATCCAAGTCAATTTCTAACTAAATTAACGCTCAATATGAACCAAACTAACAAATTTCGAAGCAATCACTACGATATAATTCAAAGCAATGCGTCAACTTAACGAGAAGTTATAGCAACATCCAGAGTTCCTGACTAACGTCATGACGAGAATCAGCCATTAGGCAGACCTCATAATAAGCAGCGGGACGCTGGAGCTAAGCCGGGGTGACGGGCTCAAGATTATCGACCGACCGTCGGTCCAGCAGCGCAGGAAGAAGCCCTACGCGGAGCGCGACAACTGCGCGTGTTGTGTTTCCCAACACGCATGGCTTGCGGTGCCGGTGGCGGATACGGACGTCAGCTAAGGTCCCAAATAGTACCGTAATAAGGGATGGTCCCGAAATATAAAGTAGGAAGGGATGGTCCCGGGTGCTGAAGTAAAAAGAGATGGTACATGTGGTACCGAAAGATTTGATGATCTCGGGCGATACTGTAAGAAGGGATGGTCCCGCCTGGTACCGTAAATATGAATGGTCCCGGGTGCTACCGTAAGAAGGGATGGTCCAGGGTGCTACCGTAAGAAGGGATGGTCCCGGGTGCTACCGTAAGAAGTGATGGTCCAGGGTGCTACCGTAAGAAGGGGTGGTCCTGGGTGCTGCCGTAAGAAGGGGTGGTACAAGTTGCTAAAGTAAGAAGAGATGGTCCTGAATGGTACCGTAAGAATGGACGTAAAGTTCATCCGGAGGCGATCGTAGGTAGCGCAGCATGCAGCAACCATGGGTAGTACGGTTTTTTACGTTCAATCGCTAGTAGAGTGACTGTGTCAAAAAAGATTTTTTTCTCATACGTTGTGATCGCAGAGCGTGCAACTGTTACCTATGATTGGTCGCCTATTACGTTTGCCATGGTGTATAATATTTACAACCGTAACCAAGGCATTTCTGGTTCATATGGTGGTGTTCGCAACCAGAACGGTTGTAACTGAGCTTTTGTTGGCTGTCATCGCCTGTAGAGCGGCGTTGAGCTCGGATAGAGCGACCGTAAATGAAAATGACAGGGCTTTGACAGAAGCGAATCCACACGGCGAATGCCGTGCGCAATCCTCTTTTCAGACTGGAATTTAACGCACCGAAGTGCGATGCCGACAACGTAATGAATTTTTTTATAAACGCTGTTAACGAAGTCAATCAATAAATCAGCATCTCAACACAAGTGAGTTGAACGCAAATTTACTTTTTTTTGGAGGGGGGCTCTTGTAACGTCACGAAGAGAGTAAGAGCATTTCTATTGAATCATCAGAAAATTATAAGTGAAAATTATTCTACGCAAAAATGCGGGCATGAAACAAGTGAAAAAGTTTGTACATTATCTGGTTTCTCCTGTAAAAATTGATGCGTTGAAAGCCGCGAGCGCTCAACAAATATCAAGTGCATATGCAATCCAGTGTCAGTTGCAAGATCAGCTATAGCGACATCTCGTCCGTGGCAGGACATGCGCGTTTCACTCATAACTGCACTACATATGCAGATGAAGAAAATCGGTCACACAAATTGAGGTCGCCCAGAAAACCACGAGACAATCTAGCGCGAGGTAACTGCATGGGAGGCCCGATACTCATAAACTATTTTTATTCAATGAAAGTTGAGACGCAAAAAATATCAGTAAAATAACAGAAACGAAACAGTTGTAAAAATATCCTAAGTCCGAAGTTCACAAAAGAGTTCGGGACAATAGGGTTGAGTCACGGAAGGTCCAAAACGACTGGATCTTAAATCTGTGCGATTCTAATAAAAATAAACCGACACGAAATTCTGTACAAGGTACATTGAATTTCTAGTTGAAATATGAACTTTAATAACGCGGATTTCTATTTTCCCCTACAACACGAGAAATTCTTACACCATCTCCGGCTGCATCCAAACTTACATCACGACACCTGGCACCTGATATTTTATCCATAAGCGAGACTTTGGAGTCATCGCCTGGAGAAAATGTTCCTAACTTCCCAGCAATCGGTACCAAGTTCAGACTTGTTCCGAAAAAATGACCACGACATTTCCATAGAATATGCGTTAGTAAATGCATCGTCTTCAGCATGATTACACAGCACGACTTGGCAAACTTGGCTACCAAAAAATCATCAACTAAAAAATGGAAATCAGAAGCACCAACATTTGCCTGCAATAAGTGCCCAACATTACATAAATCTGGACGGGTACGAAAAAGCGTCCGACTTCCTTTGCACTTATAGCTGAATTGAGAGCGCACAGAGTTGTTCCGAGACGGTCCCGTTAATTGTTTGATTTATATCCAAAGTATATTGGAATATTTTTACTCCTACTGAAATACACGTAATAATTGGGACACGCAGTCACGACTATTATGCTTTAGGGTTTTGCTAAATTGCAAGTAAACTAGAATGGGCTTTTCCTCATTCTAAACGATTGAAGATAGAACATTGCATGCATTGCATTGCATTGAACTAAAGTAAACAGTATTGCTTTGAAGTGACAATAACCACAGAACTTAACTTGTTCATCGCCATGCAGGAGATATCATAGTTGGATTGGAAACCTGGACTCTGAATTCATGATGCATCAAAATGAACGCACCAGTCGAGCAAGCTTGAGAGGCACGAGCATGAGCACATGGAAGATCTGTAATCGTCTAATTTAAAATTCAATTCAAAGGCATTCTATTACAAGGACACTTAGGCCAATCGTGCAACGTAGCTAAAAAATCAAAGGGATACTCAAAGAAAATTATTCAATTTGAACAAAAGCTCATATTAAAAACAACAAAAAAGCACAAGTCACAGCTCACGAAATAGAAGCGTCATGACGCTAGTAGGCTGCCAACGCTGGCCTTGCTCAAACACGCTCGGGATTTCGCTGGAACTTTTATGTTTAACGTCTTTTATGTTTCACGCTCCTGGACACTTGGCAAACACGACAGGGGCGAAATTTTATCGCGGGCGTCTCAGAATAAATCGCAAGTGCAAGGATTTCTTGTTCTAATGTCATTTCAAGTATCAGTATCGGCACTGTGCGAGAATATTGAAAATAAATTTGAGACTATGGAGGATATTAGTTGTGTATGTAACAGTAATGACAACAAGGTTGAGACGGAGCAATACGTAGTTGAATGCACACTTTGTTCAGGTGATGAGAACAAAGTTGTGATGGTGCAAGACGTAGTAATTAAGTTGTAAGTACAAATGATGAGAAAAAATAGCGCGAAGACTCTGTGAAAAGCATTGGCCCCGATAGAAATGTAGAATTAGAGGGAAAGTGATTTCAGGAGCCCGATGTTCAGATCGCTTCCTTCGACAAGCTGGAGGCAGCAATATACATGCTGCCTTCAGGTTGCGCTTTGGGCTTGCCAGCGGCTGAATAAATTGGAAGATGATTGCAAATAGCGATCAGTTCCTTAAAACCCAAAAAAAATGGCCGTAACCTTTTCGTGATCGATTCATTCAATTTTCTGACAGTATTGGCCGATAAAAAGAAAACGAGTAGGTCCACAGAGATGATGATTGGATGAAAACTGGCCCAGTTTCACATGTGATCCCAGAGATCATGATGCCAAAGTAACTATTTCAGGAGAACAGTTTCGTGCCCGACAAATATGATCTAGACTTAGAGACAAATGTGATCAATCTATGAATCCAATCGAAAATTTTTTAAAATAAACGTCGGTTAATATTTTTCTATCACTTACTAACAAACTAGTTTCGCAATTGATCTGAAAATGACAGACAATAAACCTGGAGTTGTAACCACAAGCAAGGTAATACTTACGATAATCATTAGTCTTCAAGAGCATGTAAAGTCTGGACTATAGAGTACGAAGTACTGGACTGATAATGATCCGCATCTGTTTTTGATCATCAACAGATCCCAGCCGTACCATAAACCTAGATTTGATCAACAGATCCGCGTGCTTGACGCGATATGACGCTACCGTCAACTAACTCGAAACTTGAACTCAATTGTTCCAGATAATTTGACTTGACTTGAAACATGGCAGGGACCAGCAGCCGAGTCCTGACGTAGACCGGGGCTGCGGACAGGAACATAGCTGCGTGTCGTGGCGGCTTCACCGCATAACCTAAACGGATGGCGGTCATCCAAACCATTACTGAGAGACCAATGATGATGCATTGCTCCAGTAAATGGCAGACTCACTAGGTAAACAATTGATGTCCTTCATCGCCCCGAGCTGTCAATTTTGGAACACTTGCAATAAGTCGACAATGATTGTATTGAGAATAAGGCAATGAAGTTACAGGTATTCATATCTGACAACTTGAACATATTTATCATTATCCGAAACTTTAAATATACAGTATTTGAGTAAAATGAGCAACAACAAACTTAAGTATTGAGCGAGCAGAGGCAATATGGAATAAAAACAGTGGCAAAAAATTAAATTCACACTCCCGGATTGCAAAATAAATCTGCCCATGCACATCAGAAATGATAAAGCATTCGTGATGGAAAATAGGCTATAAATCAGGGAGTTAATCACATGCGCAGCTCTCTGTCATGCGGTCTGTGTGTCTGATATCGTCATTAAAAAGCGGTGCAGTGCGCTAGCGGCCGAGCGACAGGCCGTCAGTTTAGGTTATTTCCGCGTATCGCCGAACTAACTCACAAAAAACACGACAAATATCCGGCGTGCTTCACGTCCAGCGCTTTGATGGCCTCACCGCGAGCAGCGGACGCTGCATGGTAGCTGTGCGGCGCTCCGCCTGTGTCTCCTACCTCTGGAGTGATGAACCGAGTCGCTGTCAAATGTTCATGTTGAAGAAGCCTTTAATATAGCCTCACACAAGAAAATCGATGTTCCATTATATTCAGTTATCGTATTGTTTAGCAGATAAACAATTGCGGTCAATATATTATTATTGTTATTCAGTACATTCAATTTTCTTGTTAGTGGGAATTAAAATTAGGGCCGCTACATGAAAACCAGCATTCATCATCATCTTCATAACATTTGATTGTGTTTTTCGTAATAATTATTTTTTATTTTTTCCTACCTTACTTTTGACGTCATGAAGTCAATCAACAATGTAACCAAGACAAAATTGACTGGGTTACAGTCAGAAGAATCGCCGTTTTTTTTCGGCAAATCTCTTTTTCAGACTACCAATGCATGAGGCGACGGTAAACGATTGAGAGCTTAGATTAATGGACGAGGGTTGTCTGACAACAATAGTTATTATGAGGGCTTAGGTTAATGGTGTATGGTAGTCTGACAATGTCAGTTATTATGAGGGCTTAGGTTAATGGTGTCTGGTAGTCTGACGTAGTTATTATGAGGGCTTAAGTAAGTTATCAAACGTAGTCAA